ACCTGCAGTCACGATTGCTTATTCATTGATAGAGATTTTGTAGCTATTCATTTTTTCGGATACCGTGACGCTTGAGCTCCAAGAATAAGGATGCTGACCGCATATCGTATCCACATAACCGAAGCTCAAGTATCAAGGGATCCGTAAAAAGCAAAATCAATAAAAAATCCTTGCGTAAATAGGAATTCTCCTCAAAATATTGGAATTGTGGCTAGGAATCAAAGCAACCATTGGTATCCATCAACAAAGAAAACTTCAAATCGTTACTTTGAAGTCTGTAAGGAAACGCAATGTATTTCAATATATCTTCACTTAAATTAATAGCAAATTCATTTATTATTCAGTTCCAACCTGGATCAAGTATCAAGATTGAATCTGCTTGTGTTTGTACAAACGTCAATTTGGTTGTTTGCTTTTAAAACTCAGCTCAGGTTGATGTTTACACTTACAAAAAGTTCGGTTTCGCACTGATTTGTCGAAGTTCCACCTGTTGGTTCCATGATGGTCCTTGCAATTTTTCGGAGCAATTCAAAAATTTAACATTTTTCGCTTCATTTTTCGCATGAAACGTAATAACGTTGAAAAGATAGGATTAACTACCCCATTTCCAGCCTATTAAGCACAATCCGCACTTTGTCATTCTTAATCTAGCGCAGGTTAGCACCAAACGAAGTGTTATTATTACTGATGGCTTCCAAATTCATTTACTTTTCCGTACGTACTGTAAGATTTGATAAAGAGTAACCAATCGTTTAGATATTGTCAAAAGTCTAACACTGCTTCTTGACGCCAAATTCGGCCTACGGATTCTAAACTCGGCCTAACCCATTGAAACGCCAATGAATTCACTTCGGCCTATCGGATGAAGATAAAAATTGATTCGGTCGGAGCGCTTCTTTTGTTTTTGGGAATAATGGGTGCAAACCTTCATATCACGCGTTCTCGATGACTTCGTTAAGTAGCGTATTAGCTAAAGTATCGTACCAAACACATAATTGACTTGTTAACTCTGAAATCATGGATTTATTTGAAGTTTTCTGCTCTACAGACCCAAAATGGGCGATTAGGCCGAAGTAGTTCTCTACCCTATTTGTCAATTGTGAGTTGTGCCAGTTTTGCGATTTATTAAGCATCGTAAACAATGACGTGTACGTAAAAGAGAATTGATATTGCCGATGGATCATAAAAAAAGTGAAAGTGAGTTTAATTTGCATGTTAAGAAATGGAATTTTTGAAGGTAAACGGATATTTTTCGACATTGTAACGTAATAGCACCCACATTTTTATTTGTTGCAAGGAAAATGAAAATCCAACGTTTTCTTCAAAATGTTTCGTATGTTCTAAACTCAACAACTTTTTGCAAGAACAGGAAAATGGGGGAGCATTATTCTAACTTCCCACTTATAAATGCCCAACAGAGATGATCAGTGATTTTGCTACTCTCTTCTTGTCATTTAATATCACTGTCATGGATGGCTTTTATGAAGACGGTCTAGTGAGGTAGAGATGTTTCCTAGTGATATGCTAGTTGACCGTCATTTCTGAGATGTGACGGTTATGCGAGGATGAACGTCAAGGTACAATAACCGTTATGATAATGCACAGCACTGCTTCCAAGTCTTCCGGCGAGTCATTTGGTGACCGTTCAGAACCAATAACATTTATATAACAAAAATCACAGTTTACTACATTCCATATAGTTGCAGAGCAAAATAATGGCCTACTCTGATGAAATTTACGTAGCAATCAATTTTACTTATGTTCTGGAACTTCCAGTGGGCCATCTGGTGGCCACTCGGAGCCAATGACCAGCTGATATGTCAAAAATTACAATTTTACTGCATTTCATATGCTCATAATAGGTCATACAAGTGTATCCGCGGTACGATAAAATTGTTCAAAAATATTACAATAATTTATGCAGAACAATCATATTAGATGTTTTTTTTTTTATTGGAAGCGATATTTATCCCAAAAACCATGCCAAAACAAATATTTGCTGTTGGCTTTCTTAAAAGGCAAATCTATACGTCTATCTAATGATTGGGATAGATCTGTTTACAATCTTGTCAAAAAAAAACAAAGGAAACTATTCCAATGAGATATACATGTGATCGCGCACGATTAATAGATGATGGCCATGGCAGAGACATGCGAACTATTGAATTTATTAACAATCTTACAATAGAACAGTAGGCATAATAACACTACGCTAGCGGCACTTGTGTGTTGATATTATAATTTGGGTAGGGTTTCGTACAAACAACATTTCTATCTATAGTGCATACGTCATAAATCGTTAAAAGCAACTGCAATAAAATATACATGATTATTTTATAAGATATATCTTTATTGAGCAATATTCATCACTAAAACAGGTATATTTTACTGGATTTTCTTATATTTAGTGCAAACTTATATGAATTTCTATTAGTTTCTAGATGTCTGTTTCCACCCCTGACATATCAACATATATCAGACAATATTCATATACATCTTGCCCATCGCTAACCACGTTCAAAGCAAAGGAATATCATGTACTAAGTATGTGACATTATGATAGAAATCATTCCATATCGCAGTCATAGTTTTTAAGTGATAATCCAGTGGATTCTATCAATCATCACATGGAATGAATAAATCTTCTGACATACATATATGCTATAAGATGGATCCAATAAACTGTACTTGTCAATTTGTTTCAGTGTAGAATAAATTGCAATAGTTTGGCTAAGTAGCTTAACTTAACTTGTTATATCATTTCAAACATTTATATTGATCGATAGTAATAAAGAGATAATAATTCTCCTACCTCGGTAATCAAGTGTTCCTTAATTAAAAATGAATATGCCTCACCAGCAAGAAACCCCAGAGCGCAAATACGTAATTAAGCGAACATAATGACACGACACACTTTTGCCGCCCATGTAAGCTTCTTCACTAAATAGTAACACATGTTCTTCTATGCCTTTAATCGTCGCATTACCAACCTGTTCCTGATTTATGTTTAATTCCCGGAAGAGCTTCTCTCTCTCTCTCTCTGTCTCTCTACCGTTCCGCCAAGCAGTTCCGAAAATGAGAAAAGTCCTGGTTCTATATCCAATCGCCGCACGCCGCCAGCGGCTGTTGGGTGGTTGTGACATACCTACATAAGCATTCTTGCTACAAGGTGAAATACATTCGCACACATCCATTGACTGTTGGGAAATGAAGGACGAAAGTAAACGCGTTTCCTTCCGCCACCACGCTCCACCGTGTTTGTTCGTCACACCAACATTGCAGATGTACTAAATCGCTACAAAAGTAGCGGCCACTGTATGTTGGAACCGATGTTATTGCTGTTGGAATCCATAAATAATCATTACGCAATCCCACATTTGCCTGGAAGGGGTAATTTCGCACAACAACGCGAAAACGCACAGTTGCTGGCTGGCTGCTCGTTACTTCTGCCTTTTCCGTGGGAAACATTCGCGATGGCAACCTCCATATACTTGGGAACACGATAGCAGCCTAGTGCCAGAGCTTTCAGACGAACGGGACCATACCCATAATAAACCGAAACATCGGAACGCATTCAGCAGAATGTTGGTATTTTCACGACGACGTCGACGACGACGATAGCCAGAAGGCGATTTTCTTGTTCCTTCACTGCCAACAACGACACTAATGGAAGGAAAATGGAATGGATATTCATTCAGAAAGAAAGAAGGCAAATGTTGTGGTAAATGAATCGGATACCTTCTTGTGACAGAGTCGGTGGCAATATGTTGGATAAAATGTCGTTCCAATACGGTTGGCTACCAACAACGGAAGGCCCGGAGGCGGGAACGTCAAACTACGGGAATATATCTTTTTGATGGTTAATTTGATCAAGGGTTTCAGTAGACGGTGAACAGATATGTTTATGATAACATGAACATTTATTTATTATGATCATTGACACAACTTTTCCTGTATGAGAGGCATCACTCTACCATCAACGAATAGATTGCGTTCCAAGAAACATTTCGTCTCCATTACGCTCTTCATCTGGATACACAAATCTCAAGCAATGTCTAGGCAATGCTATAAATCTACCAAGAACAAATTAACTTTAAGTAATGTCAAACATAATCGACTTATAAGCTTAACCCTTACACCACGGTGAGGTTAATTAGCCTTTTCCCATGAACTCGAGTTTCAACTATAATTCCTCTTTGAATGGTTGTGATCCCTCCCATATATCCGTCATAATTCCTAGTCATTTATTTAAAATCCACCCAACCAACTGTTTGTATCCCAATTCGTCATCACCCGGGTCTGAGGCTGATGATTAAATTTCATTCGGCAAACCGTGCGACGACAGATGTGAGATGTACCAACCCGTGCGATGCGTCGTCGCCAACAGGATTCAATTCAACCGCGACGCACGGTTCCTCCACCACAACCCCGCAAACGTGCGTCGACGACAGCATGTGACACGCTGCTCTCTTCGCCTTTCGACTTCACAAACAAGAGCTACCGAGTGTGATGTCAGCCAAGAGCTTTCACGAGACGACACATCATGACCCATTAATACCCGCCACTGACAGATCCATCCAGCTGGTTGCGGGTGGTACGCGAGTGGAGGCCAAATGGAGTTGTTTTGATCGGCACTGTTGAAACAACAACTGAACCACCAGCAGCGGCATCAAGAAGGGTCATAAATTATGTCGCAATAATTTGATCTGTCAGTATCCGTCAGAATAATTATCCATTTGATCAAAGGCGTTAATTGTGTTTGTTTGTCGTATCGATGACTTTCCCGGGGTGACATACCTACACGGTTGGCCGTTAGCCAACCGCCGCAGTTTAACCTGAAGGAATCAGGTACGATTTACGCGTGATGACCTAATAAGTCTCAATTGAACTCAACGTTATGTTCAATTTTCATTTATGCATAACATATCTTATTCAGCGTTTTTCGAGTATTTGGATGTTTCAAAAATACTTAATGAACCAAATATTTTCTTTCGTTGCAGGTATGCCTTATATATCAACTGAATACATATGAGTGAGTATTCCGAGAGGATTCTTGGACAACTTGAAGATACTTAAAACCATTCATTTTCGAAAATGGCCTAAATTCTATGATTCTAAGAGGAATGAATCAGTTCCTCTGCTCACCTTTAACCATCTACTACTGCCCAAGTCCATCTTTTGGTGTGGTAAATTTAAAGAGCTTGGACCAGTGTTGAGAAAATATCATAAAATCAAATCTCAATCTCTGATACGCTATAATGCGCACTAGTTCCGACACTATGTAAAACGTATACTGCCGCATAATGTGTACACATAATTGTCGCGTGTTTTATAGACTTTAATATACACATGATACAATTATGCTTACCTATCGTTTTCACTAGTGGATTTTCCAGAATTCAACTCTAATGACAATACATGGCCACTGAATCTAACCCATATTTGAGATGCTAACACTCAAATTCGCAAAAACGTAGGTCATTCATACACCGAGTAAATTTTTACTCAAATATTAGTAAATGTCACTCATATATACACGCAAAAAACCGGGATTTGGAGAAACAAACTGATCGAAGTAGGCCGTGGTCAAAATTTGACGTATTGTTTTTTCTGCAGATTTTTTTTTCGTTCGCGAATGAAAAAAGCGTTTTAATAATAGCGAATTCGTTTATTATTCAGTTCCAACCTGGATCGGGTATCAAGATTGGGCCTGCTTGTTTTCTGACAAACGTCAGTTCGATCGTTTGTTTTTAAAACCCAGCTCAGGTTGAGGTTTGCACTGATAAAAAGTTCGGTTTCGCACTGGGTTGGAACTACTTCCAACCCCGATAATAAACGAATTCGCTATAAGTTTGTGTTAAATTCAAGCTAGGTTTCGATGAAGAGATCAACGCATAAGGAAAAATCGCTATCGGACAGTTGTAACATGACGGAAGAAGCAAACAAAGATAAGTTTAGTTCTTTTTAAGTGCGTGTGTATATGTGTGTGTATGCGTTTGCGTATCGTGTGCGTGTGCATGTGTGTGTGTGTGTGTGTTTGAGTACCTATTATAAATCGCTACGTTCAGCATTAGTTTACCAAAACGATCCCTGCTGCAACCCTTTCCCCACATCCAACATCCCAGTGATTTCTCGTGGAAGCGCAGAGGGCTTCTCGGTTTCCTTCACAGCGAGTATCACGACAACACATTCCTTCCCATTTCCTATTTGACCTGCATTCGGACACGGCCGACGCTCGTATTGCTAAATATTAGTTCTCCAGTTTTTACACTTTAAGGATGAATGCTACTTTCATACATCATCTGTCGGTTCTCTTGTAAATGCAGCTGATCTGTCAATAACAGAGCAGCAACCCTGGGCGGTCAATCATGCTCATATATACATGCAGAAAAAAACCGTTCCGGTATTCTTTTACACAAAATCACAATAACCTGATCTGCTAGTTCATTTGAATTCATGACTTAGTTCCCGTAAACGTGCTCGAGTAAGTCACATTTTCATTAAATAAATTCCAAATTCCTGAGCTTAGTTCGCGCCAGTTCAGCGCGACCAACGTTTTGGAACGCTACAGAAAACACAAAATAAAATCATGATTTCGTGATCCAAGAACTCATGATTTTCGTAGCTGAAATCGTGAACTTGGATCACATGCAAAGCTGCAGCTGTCATTTTCAGTTGTTTTTGAATTTATGCTTAGTACTCGGATCCGTCGAGAATAGTTTGTTGATTATTAGTGGATGCAGCTGAACCACATCATCATAAACCTCGAAGAAAAGGATCCCGGAATGAATCTCGTGTTCTTGCACCCGCAAAAAAAAATCACCGAACATTTCAATAAGGTCCATTATTAGCTGTTTGACGTAGCTTTGTCATGATGTCAGAAAATGAGCGTTGTAAGCATTTAAATCTATTTTACGAATGCAACTTTTGATCCGGTTTATCAGCTGATTACAATTATTGGCCCACCAATTGTGTTTGTACACCAACAAACAGTGTTGGGAAGATATCAAAAGGTCAAATCTCACCAATGAGAATAATCTCATTTGAGTATCGTAAACAAAAATCAACAAGCAGACAATATCGGATGATGTTAAAAGCTGTGATACGGTTGCTCTGATATCATGCTAACAAAACTCACCAGCTACAATTCTCACCAAACTGTGGTGAGTTTGAGCTTCAAGATTTTTGATGTACACCCGAACACGAACCGAAACTTCCATCACTGCTGGTAGCAGTAACTTGGTGTCTGTCATCTGTGAAGAGTAAAGAGAGATAGCAAGCTATGCTTTCTCTTTATAAGAAAACGATGTGCTACGAAATCATTGGGTGGTAAGTCAACTCGTAGCTACAATTTTACATGTTCTGAATTGTCTCGCAATATCAAAGGAGCTTGTTAAATCAATACCATGCTTGATATTTTATTCCAGTATCTCGCGTGATATTGGGTGCCCTTGAGAGTGAAACAAAATCATTTGAGTGAGGATTATGCCATCACTGCCTACAAACTCATATTTCCAAAAAAAAATCTTCAATTGGGGGACGGCAAGTTGGATTGCGGTTTTTTTTTGTGCATACGGGATTATGCTTGGCATACACAGTTTTGGTCACGAACTGCTCATTTGCTAATAACTTTGCACACAGTTGACGAAACATATTTCTGTGTGAAGCAGTAGATAGAATAAAGCTTAAGCTTGTAATAAGTACGTACGGAAATGTAGATTTTAATTCTAGCAATAAACTGTATTTGTTTATGCGTTGCAAAAATCAAGTGAGAAATGCTCGCTGCACATCTCGAACTTAAAGTCTAAAAATTCATTGGTGTAGATTCAAATGTTAAGATTTACCTGCTCTTTGCATATCTGTAGTAAGCTATGATCCTAATCTATCAATTACTTTATAGAAAAACAAATCTCAACAACTGAGTGAAAAGTTATTAACAAATGAGCAGTTGGTGTGTACAACTGTGCATGCCAAGCATGTACGGGATATTTTGATTTTCCAAGAAGGTTAGTGTTTTCTTAGCATAAAGCGATGATACTGTATGCAGTCCAGTGTTGGAAAACTATCAAAAAATCAAATCTCACCAAAGCCCAAGATCACGTTTGATTTTCGCAGACAAAAATCAACAAGAACACAACTGTGGTTGATATTGCAAACTGTGATGTCGCAGCTCGGAATATCAAGCTAACAAAACTCACCAGCTGAAAAGCTCTCCAAACTGTGGTGAGATTGAGTTTCATGATTTTTGCTTTACACCCGAACACAACCGAAACTTCCATAACGGCTAGCTGCCATCGGTGAAGATGAAAAAGAGATAGCACTATTATACCTTATCTTTCTAAGAAAACGAGGTATAACGGAATAATTTTTGCGTATATTCAACTCTCAGCTTCAACTATACATGTTGTTAATAGTCTTGCAATATCAAAGGAGCTTGTAACATCAATATCAAGCATTATATTTTGCTCCAATATCACGCGTGATATAGAGAGCGTATGAGAGCGGAAAAATATCAATTTGTTAATGATCATGCCATCCCTGATCCGGTCAAAACACGTTGTTTTCGTCAGCGTGATATTTTTGAAGAAATTGAATCAATATTTTATTCAAACATTGATTTAGGTACACTTCTTGGTTGATAGCCAAACCTCTAGGCTTGAACCATGGCTTGGAAATTCCTATTTTCGATATGGTGATATACAGCATCACTTTCTGTTCAAACATGTGTTTGAACTTGAATCTTACATTTGGAGATGTTGTATAACCATAGAGGTAACTCTAAGACCAGAAGGTCCCGAAGAAACGAGCTCATCTTTTTGGCTCAGCTCTGGTACTATCTTCGGTCCCAAGCTAATCGATGCACCCCTCGAAACATATGAAAATCCACGAACCCCTCATTTTATCTGTCAAACTTTCATAGCGAATCAAAACAAACATAGTGTATAGTACTGGAATTTATACTAGAATGGGGTACGTTAATCGATTTGCTTGGGACCAATAGGCTAGTCAAGAAGTGAGCCAATTTTAAATCGTTAGTTTCGTATTGATTGGTATAACTATTATCTGAATAATATCGATCATTTCCAGGAAGGTGAGATTTTGAGAGAGGAAAGTAACTTCATTGCGTAGCGATCAAAGTCCTTTTTTTGTTCATTATTTTGGCTGGTTTTCCACTACCCCTCTTCCGAACTGTTGTCAATGATGCCAGAATACGATAAACAGTAGAAATTAGTACATTCTCTGATTTGAAATGATCCACCGTAAACTTGTTCCCACAATTTTCATGTGTTTTGATGCCATTTCGAACACAAATGATCATGTAACAAAATTAAAAATACTATAGTTTTGTGAAGAGAGAGAGAGCATTGATTTCCATAAGCTGTCTCTTTTTTGTGGACATTTGTGGTTAGGTACGAGAGAGTTGAAGCTATTTTCATTTTTTAGTTATCACCCGTTACATCAACGAATACGCATTTGTTGATATTCACCTAGATTTTTTTTTTTTTCCTATGGTTTGTTTTTTCCGTCGATCTTGTTTTCCGTGCTGAGCACCAATGCTACCGACGTGCCAGGAAGGCAGCTCCCACACCTGGACCCTACCTATCGACCCATCAACTCATGAACCGGGGACCAACGGCTTTACTTCCCATCCGAAGGAAGGCGTGATCAGAGATGTTATGCCTCAGAACATCCCGGCGGCGCCAACTGGGATTGAATCCAGGCCTTCTGGGATGAGAGGTAATCATGCTTACCACTACACCACCAGCGCCGCTATCCACAAACTTATAAATAACTACTTTTACGCGAGATGTTATCCATTTTGGACGTAAATCATGGAACGTAAATAAACGTTTCATGTAAAATTAGGTGTTCTCAAACAGAAACATAGGCAGCTCGACGAAGAGAACGTTTCTAGACCAACAATTGAAATAGGCGGAACAACCAAACGTAAACAATGGCTTTAAACACAAAATTCTCGAGAATCAAAACACAGGGCCGCTTACATGTGTTGGTCTCAGGGAACCGAAATGTACATGACATTTTCATAGTGTGCCACCCAAC